TTCCTATCTCAGGTGGTTTGNCCGTGGTGAAGCTGCAAAGTTTGGATTTTCTAAAAAAAGGCAAAATCGCCAAATTTCAACAGGGTGGTACCAAAATCCATTTTTGGGTCGAATTTTGTTGGTCTCGGAAATCGATGAAACCCGGTTTTTTGGACTCGGTGTTTCTCTAGCTCGCTAGCTACCTGTGGTACCAAAATCCATTTTTGGGTCGAATTTTGTTGGTCTCGGAAATCGATGAAACCCGGTTTTTTGGACTCGGTGTTTCTCTAGCTCGGTAGCTACCTGTGGTACCAAAATCCATTTTTGGGTCGAATTTTTTAGGTCTCGGAAATCGATGAAACCCGGTTTTTTGGACTCGGTGCTTCTCTTGCTCTCCCCCAATGTGCATAAAAGTGAATTCTGAGCACTTTTTTTTTGGCGGAAAAGTGCCAAAAAATCCCGTTTTTGTGTAAATTTTAACTTCCTATCTCAGGTGGTTTGGCCGTGGTGAAGCTGCAAAGTTTGGATTTCAAAAAAGGCAAATTTCAACAGGTGCCAAAATCCATTTTTGGGTCGAATTTTTTTGGTCTCGGAAATCGATGAAACCCGTTTTTTTTTGACTCGGTGCTTCTCTAGCTCTCCCCCAATGTGCATAAAAGTGAATTCTGAGCACTTTTTTTGTGGAGGAAAGGTGCCAAAAAACTAAAACGCTCAGTGCCTCCAAAGTAAGGCAGATATGGAATCGCGGTTTGTGGCACTGCAAAGCTAAGATTTCAAACTGGTTGCTGTGTAAATTTTAACTTCCTATCTCAGGTGGTTTGGCCGTGGGGAAGCTGCAAAGTTTAGATTTTCAAAAAAGGCAAAATTGGCAAATTTCGACAGGTAGCTACCTGTGGTACCAAAATCCATTTTTGGGTCGAATTTTTTTGGTCTCAGAAATCGATGAAACCCGGTTTTTTGGACTCGGTGCTTGTCTAGCTCTCCCCCAATGTGCATAAGAGTGAATTCTGAGCACTTTTTTTTTTGGCGGAAAAGTGCCAAAAAATCCGGGTTTTCATGGACAAAACTAAAACCCTCAGTGCTTCCAAAGTAAGGCAGATATGGAATCGCGGTTTGTGGCACTGCAAAGCTAAGATTTCAAACTGGTTGTTGTGTAAATTTTAATTTTCTATCTCAGGTGGTTTGGCCGTGGTGAAGCTGCAAAGTTTGCATTTTCAAAAAAGGCAAAATTGGCAAATTTCAACAGGTAGCTACCTGTGGTACCAAAATCCATTTTTGGGTCGAATTTTTTTGGTCTCGGAAATCGATGATACCCGGTTTTTTCTACTCGGTGCTTCTCTAGCTCTCCCCCAATGTGCATAAAAGTGAATTCTGAGCACTTTTTTTTGGCGGAAAAGTGCCAAAAAATCCGGTTTTTCATGGACAAAACTAAAACGCTCAGTGCTTCCAAAGTAAGGCAGATATGGAATCGCGGTTTGTGGCACTGCAAAGCTAAGATTTCAAACTGGGTGCTGTGTAAATTTTAACTTCCTATCTCAAGTGGTTTGGCCGTGGGGAAGCTGCAAAGTTTGGATTTTCAAAAAAGGCAAAATTGGCAAATTTCAACAGGTAGCTACCTGTGGTACCAAAATCGATGAAACCCGGTTTTTTGGACTCGGTGCTTCTCTAGCTCTCCCCCAATGTGCATAAAAGTGAATTCTGAGCACTTTTTTTTTGGCGGAAAAGTGCAAAAAATTCCGGTTTTTCATGGACAAAACTAAAACGCTCAGTGCTTCCAAAGTAAGGCAGATATGGAATCGCGGTTTGTGGCATTGCAAAGCCAAGATTTCAAACTGGTTGCTGTGTAAATTTGAACTTCCTATCTCAGGTGGTTTGGCCGTGGTGAAGCTGCAAAGTTTAGATTTTCAAAATAGGTAAAATTGGCAAACCTATATCACATGTTTTGCCCTTGAAACCTCTAGGACAGTCACAGCTAAACATCCCTCCAGTTGTAGTGACTTAAGGTTATTGGAGAACGTAGAAGACTAATTGGTATAGATAACATGCAAAATACAAATAGCATTATAATATTCAATACACTAAATATAAATATATGCACACTACTGCAGTCTTTTTTACAGGATTTTAAGAAAATTATTTGTGATTTCCAATGATTATAATATTTACAAACCTGTTTGACATTTATCACCTTCGTAACCTTTAGGACAGTCACAGTAATACTCCATTCCAGATGTAGGACAACAGGTTCCACCATTATAACAAGGATGACTGTCACACGGATTTAATTCTAATGAAGAAAAAGGACAAAACTCTCATTAAGATTAAGGCAAGTCTTTTAAAGTTTTAGAAAATTGTAAACGTAATCAAAAAGTCATTGTTCACAAATTCAAGTTGTAGCAAAAATTCTAGCATTATAACAAGGATCACTGTCACAAAGATTTGTTGCTTATGAAAGATAAGGACAAAACTCACATTAAGACTAAGAATTTTTTTTTTTTAATAGTTTTAAAAATTGTAAAAACTTCTTAAAGTCTTTGTAAACTCATTAGAAAAAAAAGTTGATGGTAGCACTTCAAAGAAAATCATTTGATTTCCAATGATAATAATAATTACAAACCTGGATCACATGGTTCATCTTCAGGAATTGATTCTAATAAAAAATAAAAGACAAAAATCACAATTAATCTCTTATAGTTTTAGAAAAGTGTTAACGTTTTTAAAGAGCCATTGTATTTGAAATATACCCATTAGAAAATAAAGTTCATGGTG